CTCGCATGCTTGATTATATCCGTCTGCTCCATTATCGGTAAAGTGTTGAGGTATTTACAGAGCATTAATTGCATGATTCATTTGACAAGCCTTTCTGCCTTGATGACAACATAGTTTGAAAAGTAAATGTTTAAAATCTTTTTAAGGCGTTTTGGGGGTGTTTAACAAAACTTTGGTCAACATGTACAGTAAGAAACGCTCCACTTTCTTTTATGCAACAAGCTAAAGGGACCGCTCTGATGGAGACATCCCGCCAACATGCAGAATGTGAAGAGTCATGTTTGTTATCACGTTGGAAACAAAATGCAAAGTGAGTGGGCGTTTAAAGAAATAATTGGGAGCCTTCTGGCATACGGCAACAGAAAACTAATGTAAAGTAGTTACCATGTAAACAGGCGCTCATGACCGCAAGTGTAACTGTCATTAACTGGACGGATTATGTGGAAAGTCTTGTAGGATGGTTGTTTAGAGGTGGGTTGTTGGACTGTTGGCACATTACATTTGCAATTAGAGAGAAAATGAAAGCAACAACATTGAATTTAAGCTGACATTCACTTTATTTGTAAAGAGACAGTGAAGCAGAGAATCACAAAAAAGACAAAAAAAGTTAGAGACCAAGTTGTCTGAGAAGCTTCCCCCCCCCCCCCCCCCCCCCCCCCCCGGGTTTCCTGTCTGGCTGTGAAGCAAACAGAATGGATGTCTGAATGATGGTGACAAGCCTTACAGATTTACTCTCAGGTGGAGCATCAAAGCGTTTGCTTTTAATGTCACGCCTGATACTTAAAACTTTATTTTTATTATTTTTGAATGCTTTTTCATTCCGACCAGACATGCACAGAGATGAAGGAGAAAGGAAGAGACAAAAGGTGGTGGTGGTGGTGGGGTTCCACAAAAATAAATAATGAACAAGAGTCTGCTTCTAGACCTGCAGAAAGAGAGAGAAAAAAAAAAGGGACACAACAACAATACAACAAGATCCAGTTATCACTGCATCAACTTGATGAAGAAATATATAATCAACATTGTTTAACTGAACAATCACACGATAATAAATCACAGTGCATTTAGTGGCAACGACAGCCTTAAGACCTGTGTTGAACGTGCCCAAGTCCATACTTATGAAAGCACCATGTGAGCACCTGTGTGTGTACACGTGCTTGTTTGTGTAAGGTTTCTTTATAGGATCGTCCAATAGAGTGTGTGAGGGGCCACAGATCTGCCCCCTAAAGATGTGCAGGAGACAGAGGGAGCTCCAAGTCCCAGAGATCCAGGAGTTGCCCCAGAGCATAGGAACTCCAGGGAGACTGCGACCAGAAAAGCCCCCGCCCCCCTCGAGAGGCGCAGAGGATCACCCCGGGGGCCATAACCAGCAGCCGGCAGAGTCCCGGGAGATATGGGCAGCAAGCCCACAGGCCCGCCTGCAGCCTCCCACCCCCTAGCCGGCCAAGCCCGGGACCCAATGACCCGGGACGACCACCCTCGCCGGGGACCCAGCAGATCCCAGGGACCCAGACCCCACCAGGTGGAAACTTATTTTTGAAATATGATTGGTCACTCTGGGTTTTACACGTGAAATGAAACACAGCAGGATTTGGAGTCTTATTCCTGATATCTTGCTTCTGATTGGCTACAACATGGCTCTACCACTGACTCTGTTTTGCAACGTTGATGTTTTATCTCCACAAATAACAAGCCTGAAGGAGCTTCTGCATGTGGTGCAGTTGCTAATGCTAACAGTTAGCTTCTACTAATCGAGACGTTCTCTGTCGTTTCCTGACACTAAACCAACAACAGCCTTCCCCGTCGGGAGTCTAGATGGGTGAGTCCACAAACGTTAAGTGATACTGGTCTGATTTTAAATGTTACAAAATAGTCACTGAGAAACATATTGAATAAAAAAGTTAAAGTAGACATTTTAGAACAAGTCCATAAAATTTTTAAATAGACACCCTGTGTACTGATGGACTAAGGTGGAGTGAGACGCGAGATGATGGTGGGTGTGTGGAATGTTATTCAGAACCAGCGGATCCAAAGAAGCATTTAGTTCTGAGTGGGAGTGAATGTTTCGCTCTAAACTTTAGTTGGAGGTTTATAACACACATGAAACGCCATCTGTTGGTCTACGTACCCCAGGAGAAGCTTCCGTTTTCCCACCAGGGATAAGGAAGCAGTGCTGTCAGGACCAGGTGAAGGTCTGGTGGTCCGGCCCATCGGAGGTGCTGAGATGGCGCCGGTTGCCGCTGGGGCGGAGGAGTGACAGCCCACCGGAGACAATGAGGTGGCGCTGTCTGGACCAGGAGATGGTGTGGTGGTGAGGCCCATCGGAGGTGCAGAGATGGCGCCGAATGCCGCAGGGGAGGAGGAGTGACAGCCCACCGGAGACAATGAGGTGGCGCTGTCTGGACCGGGTAAAGGTATGGAGGTTCGGCCAATCAGAGTTGTGGAGATGCGTATGAAAGGCGGTTGTGGTTTGTGGCCGAAGGTCACAAAAAGCTCCTTCGCGAAGGGCCAAAAGGAGACCTCTTCTATGGGGTGAAGGTGCAAGTAGTGGGCGACCCACTGCAGGGCTCTGCCTCCCAGGCAAAGCACCATGAACAACAGCTTGTTAAACTCTGAGGAATTCATGTCCAAGCAGCCAGCACAGTCCTGAATAAATGTTCAGCAGGTTTCAGGGTCACCATCGTACCTGTACGTCAGGTGAGTCTGCTGGGTCCTGGGTGGTTGGTCCATTATGTCACGATGTGAGTTGGGGGAGGTTAGGACCCAAGATGCAGACCCAGGATGACACAAGGCAGGAGTAGTGAAAACGTAAAAATCCTTTATTTAGGGGTAAATCCAAAGGGCTGGAAGCCAAAAACCAAAAATCCACAAATCAAAACCTGGGAAGATCCAAAAACACAAGAGACCTAGAGAAATTCCAAATACCTAGAGAGGGGGCGAGACAACGCTGACACAATGGACCAACAACCAGATTGAGACGCAGACAGGGTTATATACACAAGGGCTGGGTGATTAGGGAATTGTGCACAGGTGAGACCAAAGCCCTTTTCAGACAGACATTCTGGAACATTTGTGGACAATTCAATCCGGTTTTTAACCGGAACTGTGTTTTCAGACACACCACTTTTGTACCGGAACTTGTCCTTTCGGCTGTGTTCACACAGCAGGGAAAAGTTCCAGATGTCTGACGGCGGCGGGGGTGGGGTGGTGGGGGATCGGACCTATGTTAAGAAGAAGAAGAAGAAAATATCCTTTCTATAGTGCCTCTCAAGATAAAAATCACGAGGCGCTTAAGCATAATTCTGCGCACACGAAGACGCATAAGAGACCTGGATGATGAAGCTCAATGGTTAAAGGAATCACGGAAGCGGTGTGAAGTGCTCCGTCGCGCGTCTAGACGGTACCGCAGGAGGCGAGCTGCCGTGGTTCGCCGCATGCTACAGGAGCGGGCTGTATAGGTGTGCACAGCGTCCCCCGGTCCCCTCCTCCTCCCCCTTGTCCGGAACTTTACCTCACCAGTCTGAAGCAGCCACCCTGTCCGTAACAAGTCCGGACCTGTTACTAGGGGCTTCATCCGGATAAATTCCGGAACACGTTATCCGGATGTTTGTATTCAGACAGAAAGGTCTTACGGACAGATTCCGGAACATTTCCGTTTTTTATGGCCTGTCTGAAGGGGGCTCAATAAACAGAGGAGGAGCACAACGGAGCAGGGGAGGAAACCGGACCTAAAAATGGGGAAGGGAGCAAAATGAACTAGAGGGAGGAAACAGACTAGATAAAACACTTAACAGAAGACTAATGATAAAAGGTGTCTAAGAAAAAACGTAAGAGAAACCCAGAGAGCCTAGAGAGGGTTGGGGACACACAGGGACGCTGAAACGTGGGGGAAACACCTAAGGGGAAAAAACCTGGAGTAGCCTGGGGAACACAAGGAGGCACATGAGGAGGGATGCAGACAAGGAGACACATGAGGAACACAAGCAGACATTTAAGGGAAACCTAGAAAGGGATGGAGAATACAAGGAGACACGAGGGAGACGCAGGACGCAGACCATGACAGTAATTTAAGAATTGGTATCAATTACTAAAAACAAATTTAAACAGCAAAGTGAGTTTGATATGAATATTTATTTAAAATTCCAAAATTCAATACAGAAATAGTCATCTATGTATTATCAGACAATCAGTACTTGAGCCATGCTTTATCTGATCAATCACAATTTCAAAAAAGTACAAGATGTATATTTTTCTCATAAATGAACTTGTCCAAAGAAACCACACTAGAAAGCAATAGAAACACCGACACAAAATAGATACGATCAAATCCTTTAAATAAAATCATTTAGTTCTAAAGAAGGCATCGCACAACTAAGAAAATTGGTGAGAGATTTAAGGCCATTTTGTACAGTTAAATGTCATATATTTGTATAAACACTCAGTTTTCACAAAAGGAACTGGTGCATCCTTTGTAAAACTGCACATGCAAACAGTGCACATTGTTAAGAACGAGCATACAATATAATATTTGGATATCTTTAGTAAACAAATAATTTTATGTGTTTACAACTCACTTGGTCTAATAAAACACTCGTATAAAGGTGCCTCACACACACACACCCAAAGTACATGCATGCATCCTTACACACACACACACGCACACGCACACACCTGGCCTGAATGCCAAAGTTAGAGGCTAGTTTCACCATGCCTTATAATTATTAAAGACGGGCAGTGTGGACTCTGGACAGCGGGAGTACGGAAGAAAGAAAGGTAAAAATTTTTGTTTGTGCGGAACATCAGCAAACTACGTCAGCACATTAGGATCACGGGTGAGGAAAAATAAGTCCTACTTTCTAAATCAAAGTCAAAATTTTGAGAATTTTTCCACTAAAATGCTAGAAAAAAAAGTTAAATGTGGACTTAACTTAGGAAAAAAAACTAATATATATATATATATATATATATATATATATATATATATATATATATATATATATATATATATATATCTATATATATATATATCGTGTTGTAAAGCGCCTTGAGGGGTTCCAGGACTCTAGAAGGCGCTATATCAAATACAGGCCATTTACCATAAATAATTTTTCCCAACATTTTGACTTTATTCTCACAAATGGCCCGGGAGAGGGCTGTCTGGGATGCCTTACTTGAGATGCTTCCCCGTGACCAGACTTTTATGCAATTTAGTAAAAGTCACCATTATTTTATTTGCATCATTGTGATCATTCCTGTATCCATACTATGTTTTAATTTATGTAACAAGCTTTGTCTTGAAATGTGATGACGTAAAAGCTGTTTTGTCCTGTGTTATTTTCTGAGGGTCATGAGACTTCAGGGAGATCTGTTTTTGAGTTGATCGGCCATTTATAGCCAGTACCTCACTGAGCTGTGACTGGCAAAGAAATGCTTGTAAAATTAATAGCATGAAATAACTTTGGCTTGGAATGGACACACATCTGAAATACACCCAAAGATTTTTCAGATCAAACTTGGTCACAGTAAATAATTTTTCTTAAATTCTGCAGCAGGTTTTAACACTGTGTTTAAATCATATTTCTAGTGTTAGTGAGTTTTTTGTTTCGGTCATTTCACTCAGATTGTGACAATCAGACCACATCCACTCCACATTAACAGTAAAAGACATCAGCATTCGTTGGAAACTTGTCGGATGTAAAACAGCTCACACACATCATCCTTTTTGACTGGCACACGTCATAAAATACACACATCAAAGCTATAAATGCAATTAAAAAAAAATAATTAGAAAATGTTCACACACACAGATTCACAAACCCAAAATAAAAGAAAGGGAAAGTGTGTTATTCTACGCATTTTTGACCACTGGGCTCTTTTTGCTCAAACATTTTGTCTGAGAGCAGCTGATGAAACATGGGCAGTGTGACGACACGATGGAATGAAAATTCCCGCCCACGTGGGCGGTAAGGAGAAACATAGAGAGACAAAGAGGAAAATGGTAGATATGTTTCCATTCAACAGTCGGCGAATGCTACATTAGACTGAGAATCACTCCAAAACTTCTGTTTTGTTTATTTACTAATTAGGCAGATGCTTTTATTCAAAATGACATCGAATTTTGAAATTATAGGGCACGTTGTGATCTGTGGGGGAACTGGAGTACCCGGAGGAAACCCACGCATGCAAGGGAAGAACATGCAACGCCACGTAGCAGAGTTTAGAACCTGCAACCTTCTTGCTATGAGGCAACAGTGCTAACAACTGTGCCACCATGCAGCCTTAATTTAAACTAATAAACAGAGATTTTTAAAACAAATATTAAATGAGGGTGGGACCACAAACTGAATGTATTTTAAAAGTTTCACCCTCAACCTTTCATGCCCAAATTTTAAACTAATAAAATTTGGGCATGAAAGGTTGAGGGTGAAACTTAAAACTTTTAAACTGAAAATTGATAGAATTGGAGCCATTTTGCACAACCCACATCATTTAGCAATATCTGCAGCGCTCACAGACAAGTACCACACCTGAGTATCTGGTAAACTTCATATTTCAGTTGGCTCTAGCAGCCATCTTGAATTGGGTTGAAGACACAGACATATCCATAGACGTGATGTGGACTGGGGATGCCTATTGGAGCTGGTGTAGCAGTGGCCCGCCATTATGGATGAGTCTCCATTTGCCCCCAGTGCATTTATTTCTACTGAGAAAAGTGTTTAGCAGAATAAAAAAACACATTTTATTAAGCTTTTTCTCAAAATCGGACATATGGTATGATAATAAAAATATAAATATAATTAAATAACATTTCAAATAAATAAAAATATAAAATCCCAACAAGTAGGCTAGAAAGGTCAATAGTAATCCCACATGATTGGTTTTCAACAGTGCGCTGATTGTTGCAATCGTGGTCGTGGGCTGCACAAAAAAAGGGCATAGCTGCTCATTGTGTGTTGACTCAATGGATTGAGTGAGTATGGAACTCATCCAATATGGCAGTGATGCTCCCCAGCGCCCAGTGGTGGGTCTATGCATGACGCATCATGTCTATGGTTGTAAGTGTATGTCCAATATGGATAATGTGACACTAATAGACACACAGGACAAACTTTAGTAGTAAGTTACATCTCAATATCTTAAACAGCTGCATTTCAGTACGTGTCAGGGATGATGCTCGGTTAATTCAACACCACATCCTATCCCAACATGAGTTCTAACCAGTTTTGTGTTTGGTAATGATTAACTGCCAGCCCCACCTCTGTCAGTGTGCCCCAGGGCAGCTGTGGCTACACTGTAGCTCATCACCACCAGCGTGTGAATGGATGAATGATACGCTGTAAAGAGCTTTAATGTCCTCTAACTATGAAAGGCACTATACAAGCACAGGTCATTCATCAATCATTTATCAAAGAATGGGGAAAATACAGTTTCTTGCTATTTTGTTTATGTTATTGGTATTCACGAATTTGATGTCACAAATGTTTACAAAGTAAGCTGGTGACGGTTTGGTTGTTGACGGAACGGTAATCCTGGTAAGTTTACAAAAGGAGCTTTCTCAGGTAAAATGAAAAAACAATAAAGGAGAGTAACAAGCTGTTAAACAGAGCGCTTCATTAATTCAAACTATCTCACAAATCAACCAACAATACACAGATGACCGGTTTAAACCCTCAAAAACATGTTACTCAGCAATACAGCACCAGATTAGCATTCCTAGCCAACAAGGCTAAAAATCTAAAACTCCTTCAAAGAATACTTCATCTTGTTACAAAACCTAAACTATAACCCGCAGAAAAAAGTTGGATGGAAACACAGCTACTGAGGGAGTGAGAGACAGATGAATGAGCACACTGTTTTCCCACAGACAGACGTGTGGGTGGAAGAGGTAGTGCAGGGCCACTATTTGCATGCACTTGACTCAAGGCTACACTCATGCAAAAAGGTTAATACAGACACCAGATTACGGTACGGCACAGAAGGGCTACCAGAACCTGCACTGCTGCTACCTGGCAACATTGCCAGGAGAAGAAGAAAGAAGTAAGAGTTTTACAACCTTCATGTTGGAGCTCTATGCATATAAAAGTATCAGTAGAAATTGTTCATAGCTTCAACTGTAAACAGTGAGTTGGAAAGAGAACAAGAGAAAGATACAGAAAGAGAGATACAGTTTTTCTTTTTCTACAGAAGTTAGGTTCAAGTGACTCATTTGTTTTCTGGAAACATTCTCTTTACAATCTTTCCAAAGAAAAGCTTCTTCGTCATTTCTTTCCTTAATTTTTCTCATCAAAACACGGAACTAGTAGCTCTCTCTAAAGCCTTTCCAGGTTTTCTCAGGAAATAAAATAAAAACAAACAAAAAAAAAAACGGTGAAAGTCCAAATTACAGGAATGCTTAACAGTGGAAGTAAACAGGCTCTTGCTGGACTATCCCTCCAGAGTGCCTCTGTCCTGGCCTGACATGCAGCTTCCTGAACACGAGAAAGACCGCTGGTTTCCACGGCAACGAGGCATGGAGAGCGGCTTTGAGGAAATGGAAGTATTTCGCGTGTAAAGTTCTGCGAACACCTGACTGCAAGACTTTTTCTGCCTTGCTGTTAAAATTTAAATCTGGGTTTGAATGGGCTGCGATGGAGGCGAGTAGGGTGGTGGCGCCGGCGATGGCTTTATCCCACGGGTCCGCATGTAGGAGAGGAACTGGTCTGGGATCTCGGCTAAGACATCTTTGGCGAGCCGGGCCATGCTCAGGATGTGGTTCCCGGTTCGGTCGATGTAGTCTCTGAATGGAACAAACTGGGAGGGCAGAAGGACAGGGAGTGAGTTTAAACAGGTTTTTAACTTCTAACTCCTAAAATCAATGTGCATGAAGGTCATTTATAGACTTTTGAACAAAACACAAGCAAAAAAATCATTTAAAAAATAAATAAAGGCACATAAAGGAAAACAATGAGTGCACTAAACCAGTAGTTTGGTGGAAAAAAAAAAGAAAAGAGCGTGAAATAAAATTTCTAAACAGCAAAATGATGTTTTTTCTGATGAAGAGAAGTTCTTTTCTCCAGTCTGGATGACAAACTTTTACTGCTGCAGATCTGGTGAATGATACAGAACAGTCTGATGGAAGGCTTGCTGGTGGAGTGTTCTGGATTCCAACTACAGAACATAAAACACAAACGTAAAAAAACAAAAGGAAAGTTGCAGGAAGCTCTAGTTTATGTCTGGGATCACTGAGACCAGAAACATCAGCTGATTTTCTTAAGAACAGAAAAATGTCTCTAACCAGGAGATGAGCAATAACTGTCTCTGGTGTTTTTTTACCTGCAGGTGTCAGAACAAGAAATGAAAGAAGTGAAAAACATGTCGGTAAAAAAACCTGCAGTTCAACCAGTGAGCCCAGCTGTGTTTTATTTTTATTTTTTTGCTAAATGCACCATAAAGACCTGCTGGTCACAAAAGAAGAAGTGCCACTCCACCTCATAACAGACCTGCAGTGAGGTTATCACCCCGACTGGCCTGAGAGCGTTTCAGAACCTCCCAGAAGGATTCCTGAACACCAATTATTGTTGCTGGAACTTCCTGTTCACATCCCTCCCAGTGCGATTCATTGAAAGCATCAGCGTCTCCAGCCTCAGACCCACATGCTCCTACATGGATAAGCTAAATGAGAAATTCCAAATAGGTTTATTTTTATATGTTTTAGAGAATAAAACTGGCAGCATGAAGATCCTATGAGCAGCCAATTAGTGCTGAAAATTTCTGCTGCTGATTCCAGCCTCATCCGTGCCATTTAGGGTTAACACTTTGATAATGAGAAACTGCAGGCTGAGTTGGTTTAATGCTCCACTAGTAGTTCTACACCATGTTGAAATCTGGTTCTGTGTGAAGCAACAGCGTATGTATGTGTGTGTGTGTGTGTGTGTGTGTGTGTGTGTGTGTGTGTGTGTGTGTGTGTGTGTGTGTGTGCACATCGACTTATTTAAAAGTGAGCTAATGAGCACCTACAAGGCTGCACAAGAAAGCAAAAAGGCCATGAAGCGACTTCTGTGAGTTGCCACCAAACATAGCTCATCAAAAATGTGACTTTTCTGCTTATTTACTCCTCTTGATGCGATTCGCCAACAAAATGATACCAATAAAAAGAAAAAAAAACTCTGAAAATCTTTGAAAAATAAAGTCTGATTTTGAATTGATGAGGAAATGTTTCTCCTTCCCACTGGATGCACAGCAGGTTCCTTCTAAAATGAAGGAATTTTAAGGTCGGATTTAAGGTCAGAGCTGAGGGTGTCTGGTTATTAGCTGCAGTAAAAGCACATGAGAATGTAACAGAAAGCTTTTGTTTTTCTGTGTTTGTGGGGCATCGTAAGGTCAAGGCAAGCAGAAACGAGATGTACACAAAGACAGAAAGAATTCATAAACCTGTATGTATGTTCTTACAGAATACACACCATCTCCTGCCTTTTGGCCAGCATTTTAAACTAGGATCAACTTATGTTGGGAAAAAAAGATGCAGTTGTAGCTGCAAATCTTGAAAATATCGTTGCACAACTTGATTCATAACCACAAGTTAGAGATAAAACTGCACCCAATTTTAAGTCAGTATTTGGAACAACCGAGTTAGAGCTACTTTGGAGTTTGCTAATGTTGATTAGCTGCAGGGGCCATTGTTAACTCCCAATAAATAATCTTCTGTTTATTGATATATACATTCTAAAAGCGTAGGCAGCGCAGTGGCGCAGTGGTTAGAGCTGTTGCCTTGTAGCAAGAAGGTCCTGGGTTCACTTCTCAGCTTGTGATCTGTTTGCATGTTCTCCCTGTACATGTGTGGGTTCTCTCCGGGTGCTCCGGCTTCCTCCCACCGTCCAAAAACATGACTGTTCAGTTAATTGGTCTGTCTAAATTGTCCTTAGGTGTGTGTGTGTGTGTGTACATGATTGTTTGTCCTGTGTGTCTGTGTTGCCCTGCGATGGACTGGCTCTCTGTCCAGGGTGTACCCCGCCTGCTTGCCCGTTGACCGCTGGAGATAGGCACCAGCCCCCCCCCCCCCCCCCCCCCCCCCCCACACACACACACACACACCCCCACACCCCGCCCGCGACCCTGCGTGGACAAAGCGGGTTCAGAAAATGGATGGATGGATGACATTCTAAAAGCTCTCCTTGGTTCAATTTACACTGATGGGGATTTTTTTTTTTAAACCAAGCGAGAAGAAAGCGGTGATTACCTGAACAATGTCTCTCTCAGCAAATCTTCCTCTGGACGAGATTCTGACTTCATCACCATCCAACTCCACCATGGCTGTAGGAAAAAAAAACTAAATTAATATGGACATTGTTTCTTGCTGCTAAACTCCAATGTTGGCTTTCAAATCATTTAAATGAACAATAATATAGTTAGTAGTTTACCATCAAACTCTGCAGGCCCGACCCCAACAATAATGATGGACATTGGTAGGCTGGCAGCCTGAGACAAACACAAGAAAAAAAGCATTTCTACCATTTTACTGAAAGTTAAATATAATGACTGATTTAAAGCAACACTAAAGACTTTTCAACACCATAAGCTAATGCTTTTAAACTGGTTTCAGTAGCTCTTTAGCCATAAACATGAGCATCTTCACACTGGACAGCACTCTGTAGCCTTCCGCTGACCAGAAACTGCACTTAATCTTTTTGGGTTTGGGTGAAAACAACGATTTACGGCAGTAGCTGTTTACTGTGCTGGTAGTTCATATAAAGGCTAGCAGGTAGCTTTTTCAGTGTGTTGACTGCTGAAACAAAGCACAAGAGAAAGAATTTCAGCTTTTTGTTGTTCGTGTCACAGCAAAGCCTGGAAGTCAAAGAGAGAGTTAAGTCTTTGGATGCAAAACAGAGCTAAAATCAGAGGGAACATCAGCGGGGGAGGGGTGGGTGGATGGGGGGGGCAATTCTTTAATGAGCCCAAAAAAAAATATATATATGTAAAATTTCAATTAGCAAAACTCATTTAGTTTTACTAACTTGTCTAAAACTTTGTTTTTATATTTAAGACATAAAATTCATGGAGCTGACATAAACCATCCAGGTCATGTCTTATTTTCTTCTGAAAATTTCTGCCTTTTTGATAAGTGGTAAACTGGTAATGTTGATGTTTTGGATCACACACAGTATGCGTAAGAACTTGTGTGAATCTTTTATGTGAGTGTATTCCACGGCACCTCCTGGAGCGCGCATAGGATGAGACATCACAGCCTTATATTGGAGATAAGTGTGTATGCAACACTTTCTGGAGGACAGCAGCAGCCTGTGTGTGTGTGTGTGTGTGCGCAACACTTTCTAGAGGACAGCAGCAGCCTCTGTGTGTGTGTGTGTGTGTGTGTGTGTGTGTGTGTGTGTGTGTGTTCGATATATCTGAGTAATGTTTTGACCTGAGGGAGCAGGAAGATAGATGAGCGTATGAAAACATCTTGTGTATTTTCTGCTCCCCTTGTTTCAGGTCCCCTTCAGAAATCCCCCCACCCCCCACCTCATCACATCTGGGGATTTATTTTCCCTTTTTCCCCTTCATCCGTGTCACCTTCTATACCTGTTTTCCTCTCTCAGTCTACAATGTTTCACCGCCTGTTTGTCTCTTTAGTAGCTTTTGCAGGCCTGCCTGGGTTTCACAGAAATGACTGCGACTCATCCTTTCATTGTTTTCATTCCACATGCCACTCATCTCTGGAGCATGCTGCGCCTCTCCACCGCCTCCCTGGTCAGGTTTTCCAGGCACATCATACCGAGTGAAGACCTAAAGGAAGACCCAGAACACGCTGGAGAGACTGTAGGTGTGTTCCGAATCCAGAGGAAGGATGCTTGTGTCATCGACATAAATATACGTGGGCTCTGCCAGGTGAGACGGCTTCCTTGGTCGAACTGTCCTCCTGACTGTAGCGTTGTTAATGAGCCGAGACTCTCTGGCCGTGGGGGGGCTTACTGTCCCTGTACTGTTCAAATCTCCCACTTAAACCTCCTGCTGGGCTGATGCTCCGACCAGTTTTGAAGCCTCAGTATTAGAGCTGGGCTTCTCTCCTCCCATCCTCGTTTTACTGTGTTACAGGCCACCAAGATACAATAAGGATTTTATAAATGAATTCTCCAACCTTTTATCTGATATGCTCCCAAAATATGAACAGGGGATTATTTTGGGTGATTTTAATATCCACGTCTGCTGCCCTCTGAAACCACTGGTGTGGGATTTTATCAATGTTTTAGACTCACTTGGACTACAGCAATTGGTAAATGTTCTCACACATGCTGACTCTCACACCCTGGATTTGGTTTTATCTTTTGGACTGGATGTGCATGATTTATCTGTGGATCCTGTGGCGTTTTCCGACCATGTTGTGATCACGTTCAGCATCTCACGTCTCCTTCCTCCAGCCCGGCGATGGTCTGCCCGTTACTCCAGGCGCTTATCTCCAAGTACAACTTCCAACTTTCTGTCGGTTTTGGACACTGATGCCCTTGCTCCACCCTTGTCAGTTTCCTGCATGGATGTAAATGGCCTTCTGCATCGGTTCAGTGTGACCTGCTCTGCTGCTCTGGACGCTGTTGCCCGTCTGAGACTGAGGCGGAAACAGACAACATCCGACCCTTGGCTGAATGATTACACCCGTAGCCTCAGGTGACATTGTAGGGTGCTGGAACAGAGGTGGAAGAGAGACAGACTGTCATGCTCTCAGCTGCTCCTGGTTGATGCACTTTCACGCTACCTGAGAGCAGTTAGATCAGCTCGTAATAACTATTTTTCTGCTATCATTTCACAGCATCATGGAGACCAGTCTAGGCTGTACAGCACAATCGACTCCCCGCTACTGTTAAATGAGTCTGATGGTCTAAATCCCACTGTTGCTTTATGCACAGAGCTACAGAGCTTTTTCATTAACAAGATCCTTGGTATTAGGCTTAGCCTCCAGCCTCAAATACATACTATCCATGTGGAACCGCCGGACCCACCTGCCTTCTCAGACTTTGCTCCAGTTCAGCTTGCCGACTTGATGAAACTGATTAGCTCCATGAAGCCAGCTGGCTCTTCGGTGGACTGCCTCCCGGCTAAATCGGTGCGTGACTCAGTGTCTGCACTGAGCCCAGCACTTATGAACATTTTTAACATTAGCCTCAGCACTGGAGTGTTCCCTAAGGTTTTTAAAGATGCGGTTGTTCAGCCGATATTGAAAAAACCTGGTTTGGATCTCTCCACTTATGAGAACTTCCACCCTATATCAAAAGTCCCGTTTTTGTCGAAAATCCTTGAGAAAATTGTGCATGGTCAGATCTCTGCTCATATGAACAATAACTCATTGTTGGATGTGTTTCAGTCAGCCTTTAGACCACACCATAGCACTGAGTCTGCTTTGATTAGGATGCTAAATGACATTCTGGTGGCATCTGACTCTGGGTCTAGGGTACTGCTGCTCCAGCTGGACCTTTCAGCGGCTTTTGATAAGGTCGATCACCATATTTTACTGGATCGGCTTGGGTCTTGGGTTGGGGTGACGGGGGTGGCGCATAAATGGTTCCGCTCCTACCTATCAAACCGTTCCATCTCTGTACAGATTGGTGACTGTGCATCCTCCTGTCTTCCAGTGCCTTGGGGGGTGCCACAAGGTTCCGTTCTTGGGCCATTGCTGTTTTCTATCTGCCTTCTGCCTCTGGGCAATATCTTGAATCAGCATGGCCTGAGCTATCACATTTACGCTGATGACTGTCAACTATACGTAGAAACGGATGAGAAGAATGCGGGCTTGAAATTGGCTGCATGTTTAGATGACGTGAAGGGCTGGCTGGCATCCAACTTCTTAAAGTTAAACGAAAGGAAGTCTGAGTTTATTGTTTTTGACCCCCGCAACCACCATGGCTCTCATCCTGTTTGTGACCTTTTAACCCTCAACCCCAAACAGTGTGTGACAAGTCTCGGGGTCAAGCTGGATGCCGGACTCACAATGGCCCCACAGAAACTCCGTAGTGAGGTCCTGCTTTTATCAGCTTCGCCGCCTTACTCGCCTCAGACGAATCCTGAAACTGAGGCATTTGGTCAGTCATCCATGCCTTCATTACCTCTCGCTTGGACTATGCAAACGCCCTCCTCGTTGGTGTTCCGGTATCCGCCCTGAATCGGCTGCAGGTCATCCAGAACGCTGCTGCCAGATTCTTGACGAGTACACACCGACGTAGCCATATTGCCCCTGTCCTGGATCATCTTCACTGGCTCCCTGTCATTTTCAGAGTGCAGTTTAAGTTACTGACCTTTGTATTTAAAGCTCTCAATGACCTGGCACCTCCCTATCTCTCTGACCTGCTCACTCCATATGTGCCCACGTGCACGTTGAGGTCGGCTGACCTTTTGCTGCTGTGCACGCCGCGGACGCGATTCAAATCGCGGGGTGAACGAGTATTTGTCCATGCTGCCCCAAAGCTATGGAACTCATTGCCCATTGGAGTTTGGCAGGCTCCATCTCTAGCGGTTTTTAAATCTCGTTTAAAGACCCACTTTTATGCTTTGGCTTTCAGACAGTGACTCGTTTTAATGTTTTATTGTATCATTGTTTTAAAGTGTTCTTAGTATTCCTCATGTTTTATCTGCTTTTGATTGGGATTTTTATCCTCTGTTTTGGTTCTTTCAAAGAGTTGTGTTTTGTTTTGGCCTGTGCAGCACTTTGGGCAGCTCCCATGCTGCGTTTTGAATGTGCTATGTAAATAAACTATGCTATGCTATGCTAAAGTCAGGTGTTTTCAAGCTGAGTAAAACTAAAATATGCTGGATAAGGGCCCTCAACGAACAGGATTGGACAACCCTAGTCCTTTCACTTATGAATCTTTTTATCAAGGCAGCTAATGACACAGCACTGGGTCAGTAATGTTTACTCAGTTGTATTTCATAGGATACAACATTTAGACCATGCTTGGGGACTATGGACACATGGATGAGATGCTTTAGGTACTGGACCACAGCACTAAGACCTTCTCCTGGGTCAAGCTAAGGTTTTACCGTAAATCCTCTAATACAGGCCTGGGCCTGTATTTGACTCAAGCTCACCAAGCTCCAGGCCTTTATTGGAAGGAGGACCAGAATTAGAGGCAGGCCTCATTTTCTATTTGAGCAAAATGAACTAATGGTTTGCTGGAGTTTTTGACAATTAATATTGCGCCCACATTTTCAAAGTTAAACACATTTCGTATAACAACGGTAGTTTCTGCTATTTTTCTGTCCTGCCTGTTTATTATCTTCCTGCATCTCCTCTCAATCCTAAAGAGAAACTGCTACCTGGGTTCATATATATTCACCTCATGAGTTACCTTTGAACTGCAGTTCTAAAAGATCTACTGACCGCAAAAACAGCGGAGTGCTTGCCGGCCACATCAGTTAGGTGCGTCACCAAGGACAAAACAGGTGATGCCCCCGATCCACAGCAGCGAAACGCATCAGGCACAAATAAAAGAATAAAAGACAGAAAACAAAAAAGGAAATGAGCCGACATGAACGATTGCGTGTTAAATTTGTTTTTGAGGTGGCGACACCTGATTTGATAATGTTACTGTGGCCGTGCTCAGGACGCAGATGTCTGGAGCGCGTCAACAATCAGAGCTTTGCATGAGCAAGCTGGTTAAGGTTAGGATGGGGGTGAGGGGAAGGTTAAATTGCAAGAGGGTAAACGTCACAATTTGGTTAAATGTCCGTTTTACAGCGGGTGTCGTACCGACGCTCTGGCACAGCGCGTTGCCTCCCGACGCACAGGAGCTTGTCACCTGCTGACAGCAGGCTGCTGTCTTTTCCGCGGACTGCATCTTGCCGGTCATTATCACGTGACAGCGACTAGTCGATGACAGGCATAAAAAGTCACTATAGAGCGGTGAAGTCGACTAGTGACTAGTTCATACAACTCCTGCTACTGCTCCCCAGAGTGTTCTGCAGCATAATCAGCACGTTCTCTTTGAACTTGATATAAAATTTTCGCCTCCTCCATCTCCGCACGGTTAAAGTTACCCTCGCGGTCTATCACTGGCAAATCAAAAGTGAGACGGATGACACAACCGCCCCCCGTACTTGCTTGTTACCACATTCCACCCGGCCACAATAAAAAAACGGCCATTATTCACCTCCGCCGACTCCGACCAAAATATGATACCTGGCAGTTAATTGAATACAGGCCAATATTAGAGTTTACGGTATATGTTCTGCAGAATCCCATTCATTATCATTATTATTATTATTATTATTATTATTATTATTATAACCCTAGTCCTATACAGCAGGCTGAAGGGTTATCAGCTACTTACATTAACAATCGACTCCTTGGTCTGAGCCATGTCTGAGATAACGCCGTCTGTGATGATGAGGAGCACAAAGTACTGAGAGCCGTCCTTCACTGAAGCTGCATACCTGTGCAGGAAAAAAAACACACACAGTTAGGGAGTTTTGAGCTCACAACGTCTGTTTTCAAATATAAAAGCCAAATTAAGGAATTAATATATATTTCTGTTAAGAAAGTAATTTCTCTTTAAAAATATACCTTCTTCCCCTGAATGTGATGCCAACAGTAAAAAAAAAACCTTCTGACAGGAGCACGTTTTCCTCTGTTGCATCACCTTTTAGTCTAACAAAAACAAAAACTGAAGGGTGACCAATTACTGGAGTTTGGAAAGGTAAATGTTTTCCCATCCTTGCTGTATAAATGTCAGTCCTTCGACAGCTTAAGACTTCCTCTTCTGTAGTTTCTTATTCCAAAGTGCACAGAAGACTTCAAAAGCTCTGGACTTCAGTCTTTCAACAGCTGCTGCTGAAACGTGCCAAATTCAGATTTCTATATATCTGGTTTCATTTTAGTGAACCCACATGGATAAATCTACAACAAAATCATGTTTTAGTCTCTCTTAACACATTTCTGACACAATTCTTGCTTAGGGATCTATAAATTTCTCTGAGTATGTGAAAGATTTTCTGCACAAGTGATAATGAACTACCGAATAATCCCCCACAGTCTCTCACAGCATGAGATTAGACAAAAAAAATAAAAAATAACAACCTTGAGGTTCTCTTTTCATCTCTTCATGTCGCTGACCTGCTACCAATTATCCAAATCAGATCCCACCAGCTTTCAACTTTTGCCCAATCGTATAAACGCACGCTTTTCTTTGAACATTTGACCACCACCACACTCAACATGACTAAATCTTGTTCCATTCTAGTGAAAGAGAGAATGTGTAGTTTTAACTTTAATCTCTGCAAATATTCATCAAAATGTTGTTGAAAATAAATAAAAGGAAGGAAAACTATTGGTGGCTTCATAACATATAACCATAAAAATCATGTCTAAAATACACAAGGCACAGGTCTAAGTCTCTGGGGGACGCCATTTTAGACGCCATGTTTTATGCAAAATTACAAAATAAAACTTTTAGGTGGTAAGAAACATGAATTTATGAACAAAACTGCTGAAGTCTCTTTCCAAAACCGATGTGAAAGAACATAATCGAAAAAGAAATGCAACATATTTTGGCCAACTAGTGTTGCTGTAGCATGACATCATCGGCAGGCACAAGGACCCCAAGCAGATCCGGAAACTACAGAACCAGAAACCTACCATCAGCATTGCATTCTCTCGATGGAATTAACTGAAGGACCATCAAAGTCTGAGGAGCCATGCTGAGGACGCATTCGGTCTGCTCCACAGGTAACAACATTTACCGTAATGTTTTTTGTAAAGAGCGACAGTCACGATGATGTTGATGGTGTAAAACTACCCTGAAAAGTATGTACTGCACCCTCTCACCTGGAAACTACACACTGTAACTTTAAACTGAACAAAACGTTTTAAAGGAGCCCCAAAAGTAGGGCAGGAATCACTGCTTTGGGGCTCTTGAGACAAGTCAAGTTTTAAAATAGGACTCCTAATTCCATAATTTGATTACAGTTATTATAAAAGCTAAACACATACGCCACAAATGGGTATATAGTGAGATGACGGTATTGTTACTTTTATTATGTACTTGTTAATTTAGTTTTAGAGAAGTTTTTAGAGTCCAACCAGAGATTTGTGAGGTCACAAGTCTACTCATGTTATTTTGTAAGTCAGAAGCTGAAAAGTTTGGGAATGTTAGGTCTAAATTGTTTATCTTCTAAATAACTCATATACATTTAAATACAACATCTTAAAAGTTAAAGTAAGTGGAAATTCAATAGGAAAATGAGTGGTGATTTCATTCAATTTGGGACATTCTCAACCTACCGAATAATCCTTTTGGTAAATGGTCACTCTAAACTCAGCCTGTAACAAATGCACCTGGCCTCATATTCAGTTTTTATAATAACCAGCCTGTGGAATTACAGAACAAATACCACTGAAACTGCAATTCCCAGAATGCACCGGGACAAGGTGTGCTGTAACCTGTCTGTAACAAGAAGTGACCCCTTCCCTTAGTTCAGCAGCTCTTGTAGTGGTCCCATGTCATTTCATTTCATTCATTTATTTATAGAGTGCCTTCCTGCTGCCAACCAAGGCAGCCCAAAGTGCTGAACACAGCAGTGTAAAATTAAAAAGCATTAAAATAATAAAGGATACATCATAAGGAGTAAAAAGTACTATACATGAATTAATGTAAAGTACCAAAACAATAAAATCATAGATAAAATCTTCATTTAGCTAAAAACTACATGCAAACACAGACTAAAAACTTGGCACACCAGTTAAACAGACACAATCAGTTAAAATAATTAGATCAGAGGCCTAACGGGATGCTATGAGTCTGTAGTGCAGTTTTAATTTTGCTTTAAAAGCCTCAAGTGTAGTTGTGAATCTTAATTCCAGTGGAAGGCCATTCCACGATTTTGGGGCAAAAGCACTAAAAGCTCGATCCCTGAGACTCTTATGGGCTCAACACACGGGAGGCGACATCGCCTCTCCTCCATTCATTTTCAATGAGACATGCGCGACAAAGCGATAATCGCGGGTCTCCCTCCTACTAAGCGAAATGCGAAAAACCTGCGTGTGAAATTTTGCGCTCATGCACATGTCGTGCACAGGCGACCGAGCAATGCGATCCCAGAAAGTTGAAATATTTAACTTTTCATCGCTGTTGTTCGGACGAGGACCAATCAACGGAGGTTTCATTCACTGACCAATGGGCAGACAGGATGATCCGTACATCTTCGAGCATGGGATGAACCCATTCTCGTTTTTTTTATATAGTAAAATCAGGAGTAAGATTTCACATAACTCTAGCAGCACCTTGTGAAACATCATATCTACTGCTTTTTTAATTCTGAACCGCTTAAATAACCTTAAATCCCTCCAACCTGACACAGCCAATCAAAACAACGGAAGATTCGATTTCACCCTGGAACAGAAAGCGTCAACGGCTTTGCCGCTGCCGCGGGTCGCCTCCCGTGTGTCAGGTAATAAAAGCGACAGCGAGAATTTCACTGATCGCGGTCGTTTGTCGCCTCCCGTGTGTTGAGCACATTACGCTTGGTTCGTGGAACAACCAGTAGGTTGTTGGCAGCGGTGCGCAGTTGTTGAGGGTCTGACCTCATGAGGAAATTACTATGCAGTGATTTTCTCCAAAATGACTGTGCTTAAATTGCTCTGAAAAGCAAATAATCACATCAGCGCCAAGAAACTTCATTTCCCATGATGCTTTGCACACGGAAGCATTGGGTGATGTTACCGCCTAGTACCAGAAACACGTTCTGCGCATGTGCGGGAAGCCGTGGAGCTTTCCCGCGAACTAAGACCATAAATCTTCAGCAGAGACAAAGAATCCTCGTTCTTTTGCCCAGGATACCTGGCGGTGAGGACACGCTTGTCGAACGCTCCGACTTCTTTGAGCACGCGGAAGCTCTAAGAGCCAAGTTGAGCCCACGGGACCGCTGATCTGCTCGTTTCTGCTCCCCTCCAGCTGATGTTTGAGGACACAGAACCAGCGGAGGGAAACAACAACTCCATCCAGCTCTCAGAAACGCTGTAAGTTGTCAAACTCAGCCCAAAAGGAACTTCGTTTTCTTTGTGTCCAGCCGTGGAGAAACACTCGTGGAGCCAAACAACGGAGAAAGCATCAAACCGGCGGATGACGCTGAAAACTGCGGAGAAACACGGAGAACCGTCAAATCAAAAGGGGGAGGGACGCCTCGCTCTTTTGGTGATCAGAAAACTCATTTTTCTCTCATTCTTTTCTTCTCCCGTTTCCTCTATAGTCCAGAATAAGCAATAAAACCGCGCTATTGCTTAAAAAAAGTAGCTTCGTGTTTTCCTCTTTCGTTCCAAATTCGTCCTTCGGGTCATTTTGAAAGAATAAACTGCTTATCAATCATTGTTTGGTATCTTTAAATGTTCGGCCATGGCCAGGCTGATAAACTAAGGATATTAACTCGTGATTAATCTTTTGTGTTGTTGCATGATCCTTTGAAATGTTTTGAGTGATTTAAGGTTAAGTTACTACTGATTCTAAGTGCTTTGGAAGTTAAAGTGCAAGTTGCCACCCACACTTTAGCCAGACAAAGGAGTCAGCCATCTTGTATTCAAGACTCCATTTTGAATCCATACACACGCACACACACTACTCCTTTGTGAGAACAAAGGACCCCATTCCTACATCCTACATACACACAAAACACCTTGAACATTATTTTGAATATACATCCTTTTATTATATCACATGGTTATTATTCATTTATGCCACTGTTTATTCATTTGACAAATTGTTAATTAAACGTTATAAAATTCAGATTTTCGTCTCCAGTAGCTTTGTTGTGTCGAAGAGAAGTCTCTGCTCCAAGGATTCTACGAACTTCAAGAAAGACTGATAAGAGTTTTGGATTCAATTTTTCCCCGGAAAAAGGGGAATGGTGCCCCGTATATCTAAGAATATCTTAATTAATTAATAAATCAGTAAATATTCCCATATTTACAGAATTTATTGAAGAATCCAAAAGTAAGTTGAAGCTTACTAATTGTTCGCTCCTAATAACCCCAACATTTTATTGGTGCCCCGTGTGAGGCTTGGATACACAGAGATTTCTATCCGGCACAAACAAACAAATAAATCCAAAGAGCTTGAATTAAAATAATCAGTTGTTCAGCCTTGAACCAGCAACAGAGTGGTGCTGATTTCGCTGAGCAGGAAGCTGCATCGAACTCTCACCAGTAACTCAGTGCTTCTTTAAAGGTGCAACGTGTAATTAATTCTGGCTAACCTTTTAGGTTAAAATTCAGTTTTTCTTTAAAGGTGCAACGTGTAAATTAATTCTGGTTGACTTTTAGGTTAAAAATTCAGTTTTTTCCTTAAAGGTGCAACGTGTAATTAATTCTGGCTAACCTTTTAGGTTAAAATTCAGTTTTTCCTTAAAGGTGCAACGTGTAATTAATTCTGGCTAACCTTTTAGGT